CTCTGGGCCTTAGCAAGCTTGATATGTTCTGTCCTGTCTTTAACTGAGCCCAAGGCTTATGGATTTAAAAGAGAAAGGAAAAGATTCTCAGATAGGTACTATGGGGATTTCCTGGTGAGTCTAGCACCTTTTCAAGTCTTGAACTTGAACTCAGAAGATCTATGCTTAATGCCTCACTTGACTGATTATTCACTCTGTGTACCACAGGCTAGTCACTCAGCTTTTCTGAACTGGAATTTCCTGTGCATATTTAAAAGCACAATACCTAACTCATACTATATGCACATTCTATATTGAGAGGTTTTTGTCCCCTTCATGGGAAGAGTTTTCAGGTATCTGAGGTTCAGCCCTTCCCCCCTGGACGGACACACACACACACACACACACACAGAAGGAAGCATAAAACAAGTCAGGAAATAAACAGCTTCTACCTGGGAACCAAAGCTTACTTTGACTACTCCTTCCCCCTGGAAACACAGTCACTAATTCTCTTGCCTCTCAGGTTCTGGATTTACCTGCTTTGATATATAAGGCTGTATCCAATGCTTTCCACCCCCAGAGACACTTCTGAAAATCAATCTAGCATTTGCTTACCGTCTCATGGTTCTATCTGCCTTAGCTTAGAACTGATCTCATGCCTACCTTGCCTGAAATACCTGCCAGGCCCATCCTGCTCCAAGAGTCCCTTGTTCCAGATGCCTCCTCTGGGCTCCTTCTAGGCCAGTAGCAGTTGATACCACCAGGCTCAGAGCAACAGTAATTTCCTTTTAAATCCATGAGCCCACCCTTCAAGCAATGATCTGGAAATTAATATAGTCTGCTCCCAGCAAGTCTTAACCCAGTGCTCAGCTGAAGGGAACCAACACTGTGTTAGGCACTAGAAATAAAGCAGAGTAGTGATTGCCCCTCTCCCCGTATACAAAGCCACAGGAACTCACAATTCTGGTGAACTTATCTTGAAAAATAGATTCTAACATTAAAGTCCTAAGAAGGACACAGGATCAGAGACTCATGTAGGGACAATCTGAAAAGGCTAGAAGTCTTCAGTGCAGAAAGCTGGGAAGGCCTTATCACCACCAAAGGATCTTTGGACAGAGAAAGAACCTCCAATTTTTCAGTTCCTTCTCTAAGGCTGACTTTCTCAGAAAAGTCTGTTCCCTTGTCTACAATGTTCTTTCTCCATTTGAACAATGAAGTAGGTAAGACTTAGTTTGCAAATATGGTTGATTCTCCTGGGAAAGCTTTTACAAAATGCAAGTATTGTCCTTCCCCAACCATTGCCTGACCTAGTATCTACTAATCTGAATCCCCAGGGTTCTGAAATTCATACTTTAAAGGTCCTCGGGTGGTTTTGAAACCACTGAATTCAGTGATCTCCAAGGTCCCATCTTGCTGTGACATTCTATGATGTCAGATTCCAGAAAGAATGAGAAAAGGGAACCGACAGGTGAAGCTTGAGCAAGACAAGCCCACACACATAAGAAGCAGGAAAGCCCTTGGACAATGGGCAGTGAAGTCATAAACCTCATATCCCTAAGAGACAAGCCTGGTGGGAAACATAAATTGATTCCAAGCAACTCTGGGCAGATTTATGAGGGTCAGGGCCAAGGGAGCAGGGAGGACCATCATGCCTGGAAGGCTGCTGAAAGCAAGCAAATTCTAGCTGAATAAATCATGTGTCTGACCTCGGATGGCAAATCCTGTTCCCCTGGAATCCACTCTAGAAAGAATTTTCTCTCTGGACCTCTCCATCAGAAATCGCTGAAAATAAAAACAAAATTTTGTGTATAGAAACCACCTGAGACTAATATATGTCCACTGAGTTGGGAAAATACTGATCCCTTTATTGAGAAGCAGCCCTAATGTCCCTCCTTTATGCAATGAGGAACATAAATCTTGAGATTGGGTGTCTCTGCTTCCCACAGTCAGAAATTGAACAGGAACTTACACAATGTTAAACTCTTCATTATGCACCTCCAATGCCAACAATGTTATTCTAAGCATTTTGCTTAGGCCAGCACTTAATATTCACACTAAGTCTAATCTCTGTGTGTTCCAATGAAGAAACTGAGGTTCAGAGTGTGATATGATTTACCCTGGGTATCATAGCTGGTCAGAGGCAAAATCCAGAAAGGAAAAGTTATCCCATCTGGATCCAAAGCCCTTGCTTCTCTTCCTACCTCACCAAATGCCCCTATCTGGTCTCAGAATGTCTCAGAACATTTAAAACAGAGTTAACCTGGACAGAAGTTAGAACTAGGTCCCACTGAAGGGGAGATGCTCAGGTGGGGTTCCAAGCCCATACTTTTAGCTGTCTTCCTCAGTACACTCTTAAGAACAGAAGAAAGAGGGGTGCCAGGGTGGCTCCATCATTTAAGTGTCCAACTCTTGATTTAGGCTCAGATCATGATCTCAAAGTTGGTGAGATCAAGCCCTGAATCTAGCTAATAGCATGGAGCCTGCTTGGAATTCTTCCTCTTTCTCTGCCCCTCCCCTGCCTAAGTGCTCATTCTCTCTCTCAAAATAAATAAATAAACTGTGGGGTGAGGAGAGGAAGAACAGAAGGAAGGAAGGAAGGAAGGAAGGAAGGAAGGAAGGAAGGAAGGAAGGAAGGAAGGAAGGAAGGAAGGAAGGAAGGAAGGAAGGAAGACACATTTCATGTCCAAGATGAATTAACTGCATGAACTGTGATGCTTCTGCCCCAGATTGAGGAGGCTGCCCGCAAATCCAGGGGGCTTCAGACACAGACTGGATTTGAGAACAGGCTTCAAGAAGCTGGAGATCATGGGACAAGTGGATTTTTGTAACTCCCCTTCCAGGATTGTGTTTTTACCCCCTGTTCACATTCTCATCCTTAGCTCACTGGGTTTAAATCCCCAGGTGCTGCTGGTAGAGGATTCATCCATATTCACAGAAGCTCCCCTGGCCACATTTCCTGTCTTCAAGAGCAGTCACTGCCTTGGGCATAGAGAGGAGTCATTAACACAATTCATATTTTTAGAGTTTGGCACTTTACAAAGACCTTTCATATCCCAGCTCCCTTTAATCTTCATGCCCATCCAGCCCCTTTTAGAAACTAAAGAGCTCTATCAAGGTCCCACAACCAATCATTTATAAGTCTGCCCAGAAACCCATGTTGTTTTCCATTTCACCCCTTGGACATAACCCATGCTTAGGATTTGGGTGCTGAATAGGGTTAAAGGGCTATTGATCAAGAGAGCTCTGTTAAAATGCCTTCTGTAAAGAGTTAACTCTTTGAATTAACAGGTTACCCCTTAAGAACATAAAATGATCAGAAAATTAGCAATTAACCATTCACACCAAACATGAATGGATTCATCATCTTGTTGCCCTTGAAACCAAACAGACCTTCAAAAACCAAATAGAAATCAACACCTTCATTTGAAAAAAGTAAAGCCAAGAAAGTGTTGAATACCCAGTGTTGAGTAACTGTATGCATTGGAACCTCAACTAGAACTTCAGTTTCCTGACCTTGGGGCCAGGGCAGTGTCATAAAAGCCCACCACACTGGTCCAGTTTTCAGATTACCAAAACTCCCCAGTGCAATCTCAATCTGCTTGCTTGTAATTAGCAACCCAAATTAAGCTTTCATTTCTGCATCATTAAATCAGTTGAAAATCTTCAAAAAATTTTTCACCTTAATGTTTTAGTGAGCAAAACTATGTATACCAAATTAATTTTTCCATAATTCTCTATAGGTAGAATTTGACTTAATCACTTTAGAGGGAACTAGTTCCTTCAGTCTTATAATGACATTTTTATATTTTAAGTAAAAGTAATTTATCAAGAACACATTTTTAAGTTTTTATAGGTTGTACAAATGTTAGAATTCTGACCAACATGAAATCTTACAATTCCTCAGGATCTAGCCTGGCTCAAAGATAAAAGTTTCAAAGGAGGGATGGGGTATGTTAAGTGACCCTGAGACACCTCTAGAAGGCCACCTAAGGACACTGGGTGCTCTGGGTGGGGACAGAGAACATGGAAGTGGTGGTAAGGGGCTCTGAAAAGGAGAGCATGCACCAGAGAGAAATGTGACCTATTTCTCATTTTTTATACTTTGTGTTACAAGGAGAGCCTGGAAGCTGCTTTCACTGTGTTTACAAACCTAACTTGGTTGTAAATAAGGGGGCTGAGCCCCATCGGGGGCCTGACAGATGGACAAAGCCACTGTCCTGGGTCCCTGGGCCAATGGAAACAGGAGGCTGTGGAGTTGACTTTATGTCCAGTTTACTCTTTTGAGCTTCTCCAAGCTAAAGGAATTCTAGATGCATATGTCCAACCTTTGGGAGCAGGCTAGATGCAGTTACAATTGCGTGGATTGAGCACCTGTGATTTGCCCAGCACTGTGCCAGACTTGGTGAGAAACTGGGAAGGCCCAGTCACTGCCCATGCCTGACTCACCTCAAAGAGTCTTCTCTCCCTCCTCAGAACTCTCACAGTGCAGTTACCCAAACCCTCAGAGGGTTTTTTCCCCCTTAACTGCCTTGTTTTGTAGATAGTTGCATCCCTTTTAATGTCCCTTAGTAGGCTATAAGCTTTTTTTTCTTTCAAGTTTATTTGTTTTGAGAGATAGAGAGTAAGCGGGGGAGGAGCAGAGAGGGAGAGAGAGAATCCCAGTGCAGAGGCCCATACGGGGCTCTATCCCATGAACCGTGACCTGAGCCGAGATCAAGAGTTGGACGCTTAACCAACTGAGCCACTCAGATGCCCCTAGGCTGTAAGCTTCTTAAGTCCAGATCAGTCAGCTCCATCTGTGTCTCTCTCCTCATATCTGACCCAGGGCCTGACACATGGTAGATCCTCAAAAGAAATTTCCAGTTTGAATGGGTGATCAGTGTCTCTTGCCTTGACCTTGGTGCCATCTTGGAACATAGGTTTGGGGCAATGGAGCAGACAGCTCAGAGGCAGACCAGGGAAGCTCATGGAAGAGGGAGGGCCAGGCCAAGTGAGTGATTGCCTTTCCTCTTGTGCCACAGTTCACTGGCTGTTCACCACGTGCGGGGCCAGTGGGCCCCATGGCCCCACACAGGCCCAGTGTAACAACGCCTACCGGAATTCCAACCTGAGCGTGGTAGTGGGGAGCGAGGGCCCCCTGAAGGGCATCCAGACTTGGAAGGTGCCAGCCACCGACACCTACAGGTGCGTATGGGGGAGGGTGTGGGAGAAGCCAAGGGGCAGATCTACCCTCCTGAAAATGATGAGGTTCCTGCCTGTGGGTGCATGCCCTCGGGGTGACTGGGCACACAGGACTCAGAGGCCACAGACTCTGGCCTAGAGAGGGATATAAGGACTAGAGATGGGGAGGTTGGGGATAATGGGATATGGCAACAAAGATGTGTCCTCTGTCCTCAAGGAGCCCACAGACTATTTGTGGAGATGATATACATGCATGAGCTAGCTTCAGAACATTCCTTATCTTCATTGCTAATAACTAAAATTATAGTGGCTTCTTTGAATATTACTGGATGCCATTCATATGAGGCAGTGCATGTAAAATGTCTGGGAAACAAACATACCATGTACATGAAAGATGCTCTTATCCTTAAGCCTCCTTTCCTGGGCCTTCACGGTTTGCAGGTAAAACAGCGGTTCTCAAACTCTTGTTTCACACCCACCCCAACTACATGCTATTCCACTAGAGCGAGGCCAGGCTGGAAGGAGGCCTGACTCCAATGGGCCACTTGGCTAATGCGTGAAGCTGATGGTGGGCAAGGCTCAGACCACTAATTCTCAACCGTCCAAAAGACTGGATGGCTGGTTGATGCAGGTTACTAGCCCCACTTGGAGAAGGTCTGATTTTGTAGGTCTGGAGTAGGGTCCAAGAATACAAATTTTAAGAAAAATTTTATGTTAAACATTTTTATATTCATAAAGTAAATGTAACAAGATATTGACACTTATTGGACCCAGGTTGGGAAGGGAGACATACACGGTATTCATCATACTCACTGTGTTCATTCATTCATCCATTGAGAATATGAATTTCTAACACGTTCCCAGGTGATGCTGATACGGCCCCTGGGAATGACTGAGTTAGGCTGAACCCCTGAGTGTAGTCCTCACACAGCTCTGTGGACAAGGCCCAAGCTGCATTCTTCATTTTACAAATGAGGAAACTGAGGCTCAGAAAGTCAGGAACATCCCCACAGACACACAGTCTGGATATCGCCTCCAACCCCAGACTTCTGAGGCACAGACTTGCTGAGGCTCCTTCCACAGCCAACAGCAGGCTTAAACAGGAAGCATCATGATAATGACATTGTTGGTGCAAATGTCCCCCACCCCAGGCAGAACACAGTGGGAAGTGAGGTTTCTTTCCACCTCCTCAGCCCCCACCACCCCCCCAGCACATCCTCAGCCCCCTGGGAAGGAAAGGGGCTTCTCAAGTTGCCCTGTTCTCTGTGTGGCCGCCCCCCCCCCCGGGATTTCAGTGTAAATGCATTTCGGGGAGAGCCCTAAGTGCTTTTTAAATGACATTCTGGGCAGGAATGCAATAACAAGGTTTGGCTGCAATCAGATTAGCTGTTCTAGGTCCCACACATCCCCAGTAAATAGTCAAAGACTGGCCACACTGAGCAGGCCAGGCCTCCCCTTCCTGCCCAGCTGAGGTTCCGCAGGTCACCCCATGTCCCAGAGAGACGGGGATGAATGTTTGTTGAGGACTTACCAGGTATTTCTCCTCCTTTAAGGTAGATGTCGTTATTATTATTATTGATATTCCCTTGTTTCCTTAGGAGGAAACTAGAGTCAGCCACTTGGCAACAGATCTCAGGCCACACCATCAGTGATGGAACTGGAATTTAAACCCAAGGCCCTTGGGCTCAAAGTCAGTGTGTTCTTTCCACTAAAAGTCACACCGGGACTCTGAGAGGCATGCAGGGGGACAGGAGGAACAAGAAAGGGAAGTAGGCATGGCAGTCATGCACCACCCACCTCCAGGAAGCCTCTGGAAATGAAAGCCTGGGAGGGGAGGCCCTCGCACCTGAAGGGTATTGGCCAGCCCAGTCCTTGGTGAAGACCCTCCGGTATAAAAAGCAATGTGAAGAGGGAAGCACAGGAGCTATAAGGCAGACAGAGACCTCAACAATAAATGCACACCGAGACCCACTGTCCCCTCACTGTCCAGGGCAGCTCCCAAGCCGACTGGCTGAAAGTCCCTTACTACCCCTCCCACAAAGATCTACAAATAGGAGGCACCACATAAGGCGTTACTCTTGGGCTGCATTTCCCCCTGAGACAGTGTGAATCAGACTCACCTCCAAATGTGGGCAAATGATTTAATCTCTTGAGACTTCGTTTCCCCATCTGTAAAAGACAGGGGCTGGGGGTTGCTAACACCTGCCCCACTGGTTGCAAAGATCACGTCCAAGTGCCTCGCACAAATGCCTGCTCGCACTAGGTGCTCCCTGGCCTGTCGACAGAGAAACCGGCTGGAGCCGTGACCATGTCATGCAGCAGGCAGTGGCATGAAAGTATTTCCAGCAACAGATTGGTCCCATAGAGAGTACTTCCCAATTTCTCCGTTCCCAAAGACTTTTTTCTGACTTCTTCAGTTGCGCCCCATGTTTTGAAAGATTTTGCCTGGCAGACAAACTGTACTTATTTTTTCCCTTGTTCTTTCTTTCTTTCTTTCTTTCTTTCTTTCTTTCTTTCTTTGTTTCTTTTTTTTTTTTTTTAATCAATCACAGCCACATCTAAGTCTAGCCAGGTTTCTGATCTGCAAGGATTGCCACAGTATTGTCACACTGCACTGGATATAATTCCAGCCCAAATCTGACAACTGTTCCCATTTCTCTCTGGAATATTGAGACTGGTTGCAGCCCCCAGCATTGCCTGGGGAACATTCACTGAAAACATGTACAAGGAGCCATTTTGCTGTTGAAACAGGACACTTCAAAGTGTCCAAATTGGCAATGGGGATATTTTGATCTGTAGGACTTTTTAAAACTGACCTGACATAGCACCACATCCAAAAGGGAAGAATCAAAACCAGAAAACTTTGGGGTTTTGTTGTGGTTGTTGAATCCTCTGGGTTTTCTGTAATCCTTTAAAGGCTATAACAGATATTTCTGACCTTGACCCTGGATGAAGCTCAGGGCTTGGACAGTAATGTATATTGGTCATATAACTTAGTAGCAAAGGAGCAGACCATTTAATGATTGGCTTTTTAGACCACATCGAAATGTCCCCAAGTCAGAATATCCATGTGGAGAAGACAGGGACCCTCTTTCTGGAGGACATCTTCTCCATATTAACTAATTCTTGTTTGGTAAGTAAAGTTCATCTAGTGAGAAGAACATCAAGAGAGATGAGAAAAAGGTGAGGAAGGGTGGGAGCGTTTCTTATGATCTCCCCCTATTCCTGGAAGAGTATGAGTGCTCAGTGAGTACTATCTGGCTGCTGCCTGAGACCCGCCACTATTTTCTTTACTGGCTTCTTTACTACTAATCAGAGAGGTGAAGGAAAGAAAGCTGTGTGCACCTACTGTTATGCTAAGGTCACTGCCTGGGGCTTCCTCAGGGATGCACACAGGTAACCGTGCCCCGTACTCTTACCTGGTCAGTTATCAGGGGCCCATCTCCCACCCCCTGCTCCTCTGCCCACCACCATGAAGAGGGAGAGGGAGAAGAAGATGGAGAGAAGGAAAGAGCAAGCTTGGCAAGGAGGAGCTTTCAGGGAGCCCCATCTCCCCCCATCCTGCTGCCTTCCTGCCTTGGGCTTCCCCTCCCCCTGGATTTGTCATTTCCTCTGTCAGAACAGAGATGGTCTCACTCCCCTCAAGGACATATGTCCTGAAGTCCAGACCTATTCCCTTCATAATTCACAAATCTCAGTGGACTGCATTCAGCACATATCAGGACGCTGTGCCTGACATGAAGTATACAAAGGTGCACCAGATCCACTCTCTGCCTAAGAGGAGCCCCAGCCGATGGGGGTGTTGGGCTTAGAAACCAAGCATTTCAGTGTGATGTAGAAAGCACTGCCTGGAGGTTTACATCAGGCATTGCTATCAGAGGCCTGGGAAGGGCCTGAATTCAAGAGTGGCTTCCACAGGGAGACAGCTTGAGGGCAGTCTTGAAGGTGGTAGTTTTGTCCACAAAGAAGAGGCGAGGAAGGAGCCCCTAGGCTGGAGCCTCACATCTCAAATGCCGTTAGCTCCCTCTGGCGCCAACTGGAGAGAGAAGCGAGCCTGGAGGCGGTGAGAGCAGATGGAAGGCAGCTGTGGGGTTGGGTCCTGGAGAGCTAGGCTCTGGCAGGGAGAAGCACATGGAGGGGCCCCTCAGGGCCAATGAGTGTTTGGGAAGTGGACTCAGCATTACTGCAGGACTGGGGGAGGAGGCATGGAGGCATGCCTGGGGGCTGGGGAGGCAGGACAGTGAGTGATAGCTACCACGCGGAGGACCTTGAGTGAGAAGGACAGGCAAGGATTAGGGTAGTAGGGAGAGTGACACCTGATGAAAGGAGATCTCTGGGTCACAGCTCTGAGTGACGAAGTCTAGAGTGTGCCCGTGGGGGCGGTGGCCAGAGTGGGACACAAAAAGATCATGGATGCCGGGGTGGGGAGAACCTCAGTCTCATCATGGAGTGGAGACAGATGGCTGGGGACTTTGTTCAACCCTGTGTGGGATGTACCCCACATAGTGCACACTCAGTAGATGTCAGCGGCCACCTCTGTCTCCCTGCCTTCTTCTCCTGTCTGTCCCTCCTTTTCTCCCCATCTGCCTGCCTCCCTGCTCCGCTAGGGTTCAGCCTCCTCCCTAGCCCTCAGCCCTCCTCCTGCCTCACCATTCCCCACACACAGATCATTTATAAAAACACTTGTCAAGCACGGCCCACAGCTCCCGATGGCAGTTCTCTCATGGTTCACTTGTTCCTCAGACATAACGTACAAGAGGTCCCGGACCCCAGCCGAAGCCAGCAAATCCTGCCAGCTGAACTGGGCCGCAGCTGTTCCTCATGGTCTCCATCACTGACACTCATTTCCTCACCTGGCTCCAGGGATCAGTGTGTGCAGCTGGATGCCACTGTCATTCAACCCAATCCACACATAGCCATGGAGTTCCTACTGCGTGCCAGGCACCGAGCCATGGGACCCCTAATGTGTGCCGGTCACTGAACAGGCGCTGCAGGACTTGCAG